GCTCCAGCACCTCTAGTACGAGCACCTCCAGGACCAGCAGCTCCAGCACCTCCAGAACCTCCAGTACCACCAGCTCTAGTGCCTCCGGCATCAGCAGCACCTCCAGCACCCGCAGCTCCAGCACCTCCAGCACCACCAGCTCCTGCAAAAACTCCAGTAGTACCTCCAGCACCACCAGCTCCAGCACCTGCAGCACCTCCAGCAGTACCTCCAGCACCAGCAGCTCCACCGTCTAGGTAACTCCTAGCTCCAGCACCGGAGCGGCCTCGCCGAACGACCCACTCACGAAGCTGCTGCGGTGAGGGTGTCTCGAGTCGACTAGGTGGCTGCTGCTGTCCAACACCAGGACCTGCAGCAGGAGCACCCACGGCCCCTCCACCACTAGGACTCGCAGCACCCCCAGTCTCAGCACCCCCAGAACCAGTACCCCCAGTCTCAGCACCCCCAGTCTCAACACCCCCAGTCTCAGCACCCCCAGGACCAGCACCTCTTGCGTCCTCACCCCCAGTGTCACCACCCCTAGCAGCACCAGTGTCCACAGCTACAGGCTGCAGAGGTGGTGAAGACGGTCGAGGCGGAAAACCAGGAGGGGTCTCCAAGCGTGGAGAGCGACGAGTGGCCGCCGTGTCGTCAGCGGCAAGTCAGAAGAGATCTCCAAAGGCTCAACCAAGGGGGGTGGATCTACCTCGAGACACACCTGAGGGAGCAGGACCCTGTGGGGGGAGGGGGTCTACCGGGGGGGGAACTGGTCCCAGGACGAGAGGCGCCAGGGGGACCGGGTGGGGCGCGTGCGGGTGGAGCCTGTAGAAACAGACCGACTCGACAAATGTGACGTCCTGGGAGGAGAACACGCAACACGAGCGAGGGTAGTAAAACTGCCACGGCGGGGCATCAGTGGGCAAGCCCAGGAAGGCGCAGCGGAGAGTGTGAGGAGAGAGCTTGCTCGCGGTGGTATCACAAACAAGGGAGAGCGCGCCCCAGACCCGAAACGTCGACGCATCGCCAACCTCTCCCGTCCAACGGAGTGTGGGCGAGGTCTCTGGCAAAGAGACACGGGGCCAGAGGTTGAGCTGATGCGCGGCGTATCGGACCACAAACGGCCACAGAGAATGGGGAGCAGCCGCATGGATCATGGAGGTACGAGCAACCTCCATGATCAAGCCAATGCGACACTCAGCAATCCCATTTTGCTGCGGAGAGGCCGGAAGCGTGAACGTTTGGCGGATGCCCTCGTCTCGACAGAACTCCGCAAGGAGGCCGGAAGAGAACTCACCGCCCATGTCAGAGTGCAGACGCAGGACTGGAAGGTCCCGCCGGAACCGCTCGTGCAGCTGGTGACGAGTAGCGCGGATCAAAACACCTATGACGTTCGCATTGCTGCGCAAGGGGAAGACGGTGGTGTAGCGCGTGTAGTCGTCAACGACCAGCAGGAAGTAGCGGTCCGTCTCACTGACAGGGGCCGGGCCCCACACGTCCATGTGGAGAGTCTGCAAAGGAGCAGTGGTCGAAGGAGAAGAGGAGGAGTGAGGAGCAGCGCGCTGCCGCCTCTCGATGCAGGGAAGGCACGGCGGGGCAGGCGAGCGCGGGAGGGGGGGCAGGGACCTGGGGAGGCCAGAGACAAGGAGGCGGGAGTGCATGCTGGGGAGACGCGGTAGAGAGGGGTGACCGAGTCTGTGGTGCCAGAGAAGAGTCTGGTTATGGAGTACCCGACACGAGCACGACGCAGCGAACTGACCAGACGCAGACACCTGACTCGACGCAGCCACCTGACCTGACGCAGCCACCTGTGCACACGCAGTGGTCAGGGTGTACAGACTGGACCCAGGCTGCCGAGTGAACGTAGCAAGGTGACCGCCAGTCCGTGAGCACGTACAGATCGCCACACGCTGCCCTCCAGGGGTAAAGGTATCAACCCAAACATCCTGAAGGACTGCGTTGCTCACCAAGTTCGTCGAGAACGAGGGGAGGTGGAGGCGTGAAAGAGAGCCGGAGGGGACTGTCGGACACGGGAGGACTGTGGAGGCTCGTGCGACAACGGGGCCCCCAGAGGGGTCAGCCAGTGAGACTGGGACAGGTGCAGCAAATGGTGTGACTGTGGTGCAATCACGAAAGAAGCAACGAGACGTGCCAGAGTCAAGTGTGAAAGTGTGCAAGGTGTCAGCTGAGGCAGCAGACTCACTAGCACCTGTGGCAGCAGACGCACTAGCACCTAGAGCGGAAGCAGACTCACTAGCACCTAGAGCAGCAGCACCGACACTACTAGAGACGCGTCGCTGAGAAAACCACTCCCGAGGCTGCTGCGGCGAGGGGGGCCTCCGGCTGACTCTGCTGTCGCTGTTGTGGAGTACCTCCAGGAACATATCCTCCACCACCAGGACAGCCTCGCTGAATAACCCACTCACGAAGCTGCTGTGGCAAAGAGAGTCTCCTGGCGACGAGACTGCCGCTGCTGTCCAATACCGCCCGCACGCAAGTAATCCCAAGCTCCAGGACCAGAGCGGCCTCGCTGGATAACCCACTCACGAAGCTGCTGCGGCGATAAAGTGTCCGGGTGAGGCAGTGGCTGCTGCTGTCCACCCCTAGATGTTGCTATGACCGTGATAGTGGCCATGACAGGCAGTGGCAGTCAGTAGCAGCGGCTTAGGTGGCAGCAGCAGTGCAGGTGGCAGCAGTAGCGCAGGCGGCAGCAGCAGCTTAGGTGGCAGCAGCAGCGCAGCAGCAACAGCACAGCAGCGAGTTGCAGCTCACGGCAGGTCAGGGCGGCGCGCGGGCCTAAGGGCAGGGCGGCGCGCGGGCTGCAGGGCAGGGCGCGCGAGCCTAAGGGCAGGGCAGCGCACGGGCCTAAGGGCAGTGCGGCGCGCGGGCCTAAGGGCAGGGCAGCACAGCGCGCGGGATGCAGGGCAGGGCGGCACGCGGGCCTAAGGGCAAGGCAGCACAGCGCGTGGGATGCAGGGCAGGGCGGCGCGCGGGCCTAAGGGCAGGGCAGCGCAGCTCGCGGGCTGCAGGGCAGGGCAGCGCGCAGGCCTAAGGGCAGGGCGGGCTGCAGGGGCGAGCGCGGGCTGCAGGGGCGAGCGCGGGCTGCAGGGGCGAGCGCGGGCTGCAGGGGCGAGCGCGGCTGCAGGGGCGAGCGCGGGCTGTAGGGGCGAGCACGGCTGCAGGGGCGAGCGCGGGCTGCAGGGGCTAGCGCAGGCTGCAGGGGCGAGCGCGGGCTGCAGGGGCGAGCGCGGCTGCAGGGGCGAGCGCGGCTGCAGGGGCGAGCGCGGGTTGCAGAGGCGAGCGCGGCTGCAGAGGCGAGCGCAGGCTGCAGGGGTGAGCGCGGCTGCAGGGGCGAGCGCGGGCTGCAGGGGCGAGCGCGGGCTGCAGGGGCGAGCGCGGCTGCAGGGGCGAGCGCGGGCAGCAGGGGCGAGCGCGGGCTGCAGGGGCGAGCGTGGGCTGCAGGGGCGAGCGCGGCTGCAGGGGCGAGCGCGGGCTGCTGAGGCGAGCGCGGGCTGCAGAGGCGAGCGCGGCTGCAGGGCAGGGCGGCGCACGGGCCTAAGGGCAGGGCAGCGCATCGCGCCTAAGGGCAGGGCAGCGGAGCGCGCGGGCTGCAGCGCAGGGCTGCGCGCGGGCCTAAGGGCAGGGCCGAAAAAAAATACGGGCAGGGCAGGGCGGAACGTTCGGTGGGCCCTAGGAACGATCATGCTCTAATACCATGTTAAAATAGGAAGACAGGAATGATGAATGACTAGCAACAGGGAGATACAAGTATGAAACCCTAACTGGGGTTGTACCCTATACTGAGCACCTCACTGTAGCCTAGCAGAACTAAGAACATACAAATATGTTTTGACAATACAGGCATAACTACAGTTACAGTGACTAATACGATCTTTGCGGTTACCTTGTTGCATTGCGTAACCCCCAGGACGGTTGCGACAGTCGGAGTAGGTCGCAACCTCCAATCCATAATGGTCAACGGTTGGGACAGCTGTCCCGTTAGCTCATATAGAGCACACAGAGACGACCGATAACCTTTCGACTAGTGCGTTCTCTATATGAGCTATCGCGATAATGAAATAGGCTCAGTCTCGTTACGAGACATTGCGATATAGCGATACCTTCGAGAATGCCATTATAAAACTTCGGTTATTCCAGCAGTGTCAAGATTTTTGTTGTCTTTAATATCTTAGCAGCCTTATCCTATCCAATTCGATCCTGCTGTTATTCTAACGCCTTAAGATTATACATATTATTTAAACATACGGTATCGTGATTCATGTAATATATCGAGAGTCTTAATTGGTAAATCGTACGAAACTCTAGAAATGGGTCAGCAGAAGATGCGGGATCGTGTGAGCATCTTGATTATTTGAATAATTGGAATTTATTACCTGTTATTTACCACAGTATAGATTGTAGCGTACTTAAGCACAAAATGTGTGGTAATCAAGGGTCGCCGAAATCAGTACAGTCAATAATCACACCATCTCTCGGTTTCGCGCCTATCGCGCCGTCGCATGCGCAGGAAAAACGATCTCTGGGGAGTGTTTCTGTCACAATTATTATTCGCGAATTTCTGCACAATTTCGTATCCAATATTCGCGAAGACGTGGGCAAAGTCCGTCATTCGCGAAAACGCTGCTGGTCGTCGTTTACTCGCCACCTCGCGCACCCAAACCACAATTACTAGCAACAATGTTGCTGTGACACCCTTCGCAACCAATTGGTCAAAACTGGTGCGACTCGGAACAATTGCTCGAAAACCTATGTACTGAACAGCCAAGTCCTAAGCCCGCGACTCATGGTGCCTTCCCTCATGTCATGCCAAGTGAAGTTTATAAGCTACCACTGCCGCTCATGTCATCACCAGTTCCAAGTATCTCTACCCTTCAATCTAGAAAGCTGTTTAATAGCACCAGCTCGACAGTTTCAGCCTCGTTTGATACACACAAGCGAAAATAACTCCCTTCGGCTACACATCCGCTAGTACTACTTTCCTAGTCGTCGTCATCGCCTCTGCGATGCTCCTTTCCGTCCCTGCGCGCGTCTCTGCCACTGGGGCTCCCGCCAACGCGACTGCGCCTGCTAACACGACTGCTTCTGCTAAGGCGGTTGCTGCTGGCGCGATTGGGTCTGCAAACGCGACCACGTCTGGAGATGCTAACACCAGCCCAAAAACGGCGACGGCGAGGCAGAGCAAGAGCGCGGGGCTAGGAAAGAACTCCACATGCGCCTATTACGGCAACTACAGCGCCAACCCCTACTTCGGCAAGGGTCTCACCGTGAAGCTTCCTCCCGCTGTCTTCGGCAAGCGCTGCGGCGCGTGCTACAAGGTGATTTGCGCCAACGACACGAAGCGCTGCCGCAGCGGCAAGGCGACCGTGACGGTCCGCGTCATTGGCGCGACCACCACGGAGAAGAAGATTTCGCTCTCCGCCGTCTCGTGGTCCAAGATCGTGCAGGGATCCGACGCCACCCCCGTCAGGTTCACGTACAAGCGCACTAACTGCCATTCGACCCTCGGATCGGCGGTGCGCGTGCGCAGCAACTCAACGGCAGAGAATTTCAACATTCAGATGGTGGGGCTTGCCGGCCCCGGCGCGCTCAAGGCGGTCGAGATTAGCGTGGACGGCAAGAAGTGGGCGAAGCTGACCCGCGACGGCAGCAAGGCGATCTGGGGGATCAAGGGCAAGGAGGCGAAGGCGGTTTTGGGCGCGAAGAAGGCGGTGAGCGTTCGCCTCACTGCGTTACACACCCTCGAGAAGATCACCCTCGAGAAGGTCATTCCCGCCGCCTGGAAGCCACAGACGCTGTACTCGAGCAAGACCAACTTCAAGAAGCTCATGGCTGAGAGCAAGTAGGCAAGTGGGCGTGAAGAATAACTGAGGCGCCGCCCTAAAAGCCGCTGTAGTACTCGTGGAGGACCGATTCTACGGTTTTCAAAGGCAAAGTTGACGCCGGTAGTGACGACACGCTTCTTGGTGGGTAGATGCTTTTGAGCATAAGACTGGCTGAACGTTAGTAGTGGGTGTGAGGGGAGTGGAACGGGAGCGGAGTGGGTAATTGGGAAGGGAAAGGGTTAGCGGGGGAGTGGGTTTGTGAGAGCGGAATACAATGGTGCAGAAATACCATGTGCATGCATGTCTTTCAGTTATATATTTGTGCTCGTGTATGCAATGGTTCATAATAAATTGTTTCACTACATACGGGTACCCTAGCTGGGATGCTCCCAACCATAGTACACTAATGCCACATGACCTTTGTCTAAGGAGGCTACCATACCATATGTGGACGCCGATGACGCCGGCGACAAGCAGAACTGGACGAGCACGGGCGGCTACGTGTTTGTCTTCGGAGGGGCCGCTGTCTCCTGGTTGAGCCAGCGCATCAAGTGCGCGACGCTGTCATCGACCGAGTCGGAGTACGTCGCGGCCACGGAAGCCGGCAAGGAGGGACGCCGACTTCGCTTCCTCCTTGCAGTGTTCCAGCTACTCGACGCTGGGACGCCGACCGTCCTTCGTGTGGACAACCAGTCGGCCATCACGGTCGCTGAAGGCTTGGGGCTGAAGGGCAACCTCAAGCACACGGAGCGACGTTACGCCTGGCTGCAGGAGATGGTGAAGCGCGGGAAGTTCGTTCTGCGGTACATCCCGACCACTGAGCAGCCGGCCGACTTCCTGACGAAGGCGCTGCACTTTCCGGCCTTCAACCGGTGCTCCGTCGCGATTGGCCAAGTTCGTCTCGCTGACATCGGCGATGGTGATGATGTTGTGCAGCAGTAGGTGCCGTGCCCTTCAGCACGCCTGGTGCGGTGACCGGCGTGCTGTGTGTTGTGTGCACGCCGAAGGGTTTTTCCCCGTGTATTTTATCCCTTGGGTTCTGGGTGGCCCTAGTGTGTGGGGTGCCCAAGCGTGAACGCGGCACGCGAGTGTTGACGGGAGTTGGCCCCGCCCTCGCTTGGGCAAAGCTGACTTCGTGGTCGGGTGTGTGGGAGGTGCAGCCGACCCTCTGCAGTATGCGAGATATGGAGCTTCTGCGCAGGTTGGGACAAGGACCTCGTGCACAAGGTGAAGTATTGCCAGTACACGAGGTGTACTAGGGAACCCGTGCGAGAGTAACTGAATCATTCGCGAGTGCAACACAAACGTCTCGTGCACATGTGCAAGTGGCGCAGCTGGTGCAGAGGTTCGCGGGTGTTCATGTGCGCAGGGTCGTGTCTGACCCTGCGCACCCTCACGAACGCACAAGAAAATATCGGCTAGAAATTCGAATGTGCCCTAATTTCGACCAATGAGGAGCCGGAATTTCGACCGAGGTGGTCGTGGAGGGTGGTCGACGAAGGTCGCCGACCCACGACGACAAAGGTCGTCGACCTTTGATGACGGAGGTCATCGACCTACAGGGTCGGCGAGGACTCTACCCGGTCGACCAAGTTACCTGCTCGACGAGGTTCTACAGAGGTGCGCGAACGTCCTCGAAGCTACTGTTGCGAAGTCGACCGACGTGGCAGCACGTGGTCGACGTGGCTCGTCAGGTGCAACCGCCTGCATGTGGCTGACAACTTGTGCAATGTGCGCCACAGTGCACGTCGTGCGTAACTGTCTACAAGCATCTGCGAAGTAGGTGCTTGCACATGTCCTTACAATCACCTGCGGATGCAACGTTGGCAAGCTGCGTGGGTGCTGTGTTTGCAAGCCGCGCGGGTGCATCGTTGGCAGGCCGCCATTCTGCAGCGTTAGCAAGCCGTGCACGTTGGCGGGCCGCGGACTTGCTACGTTGGCAGGTCGACGACTTTGTCGTGCTGGCGGTCGACCTGCCTGTGCACTAGCAAACCCTGCATCTGATGCAGTCGATCTTTGCCATTGCTTGCTCATTCTGAATTCTGAATTCTCAACTTTCCTAGGAAAACTCTTGCTGTTTTGCCCTGTGAACGCACAAGTGCTAGAGAACACAGACAGAGCTACGACCACTCTCATAACCAGTGCCTACCCCGTAGTGTGAGAATAATACGAGGAAAATTTAGAACAAGAAAGAGGGGTTTCACTAGCAGCAGTTGGGATACAAATAGCTAACCCTAACTGGGCTGTACCCGCTATAGAGCACCGCACTGCAGGCTAGATAATAGCACCGCGGATATCCCAAAAGGTGGACAAGCGTCAAGCAGTTGGTGACAGGAGTGGCAGAGAATGACAGGGTGGCAAGAAACGGATGAGCCTGCTAGAGTGCGCCTTCCAGTCAACCAAGATTTGCAAGCATCTAAACCATTCTCCCTCACAGCCGCCGTTTCTGCGCTGCATAAGACGGTTGCGTGCGCTGCTCTCCACTCACCAGCACTGGCGGGAAATCCCCGCGCGGCAGGAGGGCAATGATCCCTGATAGTACATTCCAGCCGTCAAACATACCTCAAGCAAATTGACACACTTTTATATCAAAGTTATATGCTATAGCTTGTTTAGGCTGTAGTGGGTTAGTCAATATGGGGTACAACACTTTAAGGTTTCACTACTTGTTCAATGCAATCATTCCTGTTTCGTTCTTTCTGACATGGTTTCAGAGCAGGTCCTCCGCTAGGACCGATTTTTTTTTAAGGGCCCACCACACTGACTGCCTACTAGCGCCCTCGTGCGCCCTACTGTCGGAGCGCCCTCGAGCGCCTCCCCCCAGCGCCCTCGTGCGCCCCTCCTTAACGGCCCCTTACGGCCCCGTCGACCCCTTAGCGGCCCCTTACGGCCCCGTCGACCCCGCGCGCCGCCCCTTAGCGGCCCCTTACGGCCCCGTCGACCCCGCGCGCCGCCCCTTAGCGGCCCCTTACGGCCCCGTCGACCCCGCGCGCCGCCCCTTAGCGGCCCCTTACGGCCCCGTCGACCCCGCGCTCCGCCCCTTAGCGGCCCCTTACGGCCCCGTCGACCCCTCGCGCCGCCCCTTAGCGGCCCCTTACGGCCCCGCGTTCGCCCCTTAGAGGCCCCGTCGGCCCCGCGTTCGCCCCTTAGAGGCCCCGTCGGCCCCGCCAGAACCGAGCCGCCCGAACCGAGCCGCCCAGCCCGAACTGAGCCGCCCGAACCGAGCCGCCCGAACCGAGCCGCCCAGCCCGAGCCGAGCCGCGCCGCCCGAACCGAGCCGCGCCGCCCTCCCCGTACTGAGCCGCCCTTTCTGGACCGAGCCGCCCTTTCTGGACCGAGCCGCCCTACCTGAGCTGCACTGCCTGCTGCTTTTAGGGTTGTGCCTGCTGCTACTACTGCTACTGTTCCTGCTACTGCTGCTACTTCTACTGCTACTATGGCTAGCCCCGCTGTCCTCACTTTTGATGCCGAGGGCCGCCCAGTGAAGTTTGACACCTGGCTAGATGACTTGCACCTGTTCCTCCAGCTCACTGCCAAGGAGGACATCTCACTGTACGACCACGCACTAGGCCTCGCTGCTGCCCCTGCTGTTACTGCTGACAGTACTGCCCGCTCACAGTGGCAGACTCGTGATGCCCACGCTCGTTTCGCTATTCGTAACTCCCTGCCGGTCGATGAGCGCGAGCACTTTGGCCAGCAAAAGACTGCGCAGGCACTGTACACTGCTGTAGTTGCACGCTACTCCTCACCTGCCTCTGCTGCGCTAGGCCGTCTCTCGCTCCCCTATCTGTTCCCAGACCTGTCCGCTTTCGCCACAGTCGCTGACCTCACCACGCACCTCCGCACTAGTGAGGTTCGCTTCCGTGCCGCTATGCCCGCTGAGTTTCTTGCCACCCACCCCCCCCCGCTCTGGCTCACTCTCTACCACCTTGTCACCCGTCTCCCTGACTCTCTTCATGCGGTCAGGGACCACTTCCTCGCTCGCTGCCCCACTGAGCTCACCGTTGACCTGCTCGAGAAGGAACTGCTTGCAGCCGAGACTAGCATAGTCGCTGTAGCTGCCTCTCGTGGCGACCCCCGCACCCCGTTCTTCGAGGGGTGTTCCCCTTCCCCCCTGCTCCCCTCTGTCGCCTCTGCTGCTGCTGTCGACCTAGTTGGTACTGAGCAGGTCGGGACTGCGTCCGCTCCGAGCTGGCGCCGCAGCGGCAAGGGAAAAGGGGGCAAGGGAGGTGGAGGAGACGGCGGGGGAGGCGGTGGTGGGGGCGGTGGAGGCGGTGGGGGTGGTGGCGGGGCAGGAGGGGCTAGTGGCAGCGGTGGGGGTGGTGGCGGCAGCAGCGGAGGAGGTGGCCGGGGTGGGGGCGGTGGTGGGGGCGGCGGTGGACGAGGCGGCGGCAGGGGCGGTGGTGGTCGAGGTGGTGGCGGCGGAGGTGGTGGACGTGGTGGCGCTGGCGGACAGCAGACTCTCTCTCCCCAGGAGCTTCGTGAGTGGTACTCTCAGCACGGGGGGGGGGGGGGTGGCCTTAGCTGCACGTACGTCATCCGCACTGGTGAGCGCACTGGCCAGACTTGTGGGAGGGCGCACACTACGCAGCGCTGCTTCTCCCGCCTCGACGACGCTTGGCGCACTCAGTTCCCTACTGCCACTGAGCTGCCCCGCTGGTGGGATCTGATGAAGAAGAACATTGATGTCTTTGCTCTTGACTTTGATGCTATTCTCACTGCCATGTATGTGTTGTCTACTAGTGGAGAGGGTGATCAGTACCTGCGTGTTCCGCCCGACCCGGGCATTCGCACCAGTGAGGCTGCCGCTCTAGGTGCTTGCGTGTCTGCTGCCCCAGGTGCTGGTGAGGCTGCTGCGCTAGGTGCTTACGTGTCTGCTGCCCCAGGTGCTAGTGAGTCTGCGCCCCCTGGTACTGAGTCCACTGAGGCACTGCACACCTTCACTCTAGACTCAGGCGCATCTCGCTGTTTCTTTCGTGACCGCACTGCCCTTGAGCAGCTTGCTAGGCCAGTTGCTGTCT